ATTACATACTGTACTGCTGATACGAGCATTTTGAGTTGTCGGGCGATCGGCCAGGCGGTAACATTTGTAAACACAGTTCAGTTCTGACCTCAGATCAGAACTATTTGCAATCTGCTTTTATGAGTTACTTATTTAATGAGAAATAATGTCACGGAGGAAAAAATAACCGATCAGTAATTGGAGAAATTGATGGGATCCCTGTAGCCGTTCCTTATGTGACCTCTTAGCAATGTTGCAATAATGAGGTTGCAATTAGCTCTTAATGTGTGTGTATTTTGGCAAAGTGATTTAATTATACTTCGCAACATTTAGTCGTCTTTTTATAGAAATAAAATCAGTCCTTCACACTGCCTCTGTCTCACGCACACACACACACACACACACACTACACAAAGATCCAGTGGCACATGCCAGAATGACAGAATATCTCTTCCCATCAGCAGCCTCCAGGGCAACTGCAGCATGACAAAAAACAAAAGATTACAAAACAGCAGCAACTATTTGAAGTCTTTTTACTTCTTACAGACTTTAAATTCAGAATTACAGTGTAGGTTATTAAGTGATTTCATATTTTTTGGGTGTCGAAGGCAGTTTCTTCACAACTAGAGTCTCTTCCTACAGCGGACGTCTCATCACTCCTCAGAGTACAACAAGCGTCTCCTCAAGGCGGCCCTGAAAGCATAAAGGGTATTTAGGTCACAGTGTCAAATGTCATGTTTGGTTGCAGAGAAGCACTGGAAGAACAGCACAGACTGCAGCAGTTATACACCTCAAACAGCCACTCCTGAATCATTTTGTTCTGTTGAAGGGAGGGTGGTAATGTAATAGGGTTTACAGTATCTCAAGGGATCACCCCTACTTCTATACTTCTATACAGTACTTCTATACTCTGTCTGCATTGGAAAGTACATTTACTCATGTAATGTACTCAAGTACAGGTTTGAGGTACTAAAAAATGGAAAGTAAAGTCTTTACTTCTCTTTCCCTTCTCATTTAAAGCTTTACTTACATTGCAGATTCAGGTTATTCAAACAAAATATATAATCGACTAATAGATTATGATGTATTATTATGGATTAAACTACCTAGCAGTACATAAAGTAGTTAAAATTAGCTTTATATTTACCACCTGCATCATTAAAGGGATGCACACATTAGTTATAAACCAGTAATTCAAAGTACATTATTCTGGCGTGTGTTTACTTCTGATACTTTAATTATATTTTGATGCAAATACTTTTGTACGTTTCCTTAAGTAAAAGTTTGAATGCAGGACTTTCATATCTTTTATTTACCACAACTTTACTGTTAACTGGTTCACAAGATCGAAACAAAGCTAAAAATGAGAGTTAATGTTGGACATTCACCAAGTTTGTCTGGACAGAAATACGACTCCAAATGATTGCTAATGTTGCTTTGTGTCTGCTGGATGTGTAAATAAGCAACTGTTTGTGAATGAGTTATCCTTAAGATGCCATTGACACTGTTGTATTCACAGCTTCTGTGGCCAAAACAACGTGTTAATGTAGTTTTAATCTACCACCACGTGTTCAGCAGGATCGTGTGTGAGGACAGTTATCACTAAAAAAGACTAAAATCAAAGATTTTTGAATCTCTGACTCCATAGAAATGTATTTTAAGTAATCTCCTATTACACACTTTCACAACACACTCCTATTTTATCATTTTAATTTATCATAAGATTTAATTTTCATTTACTTAGATTTTATCTGTATTTGTGGCCGTTTTCTCAGTTATTTTGTCGTGAAACTGAACTAATATCATGGAATGAAGCCTGTTTGAAATTTTGTATTCAGTGAATGAAGTTAGGTTTTTTTTTAGCTGGACCAGCAGTTAATACAGTGGCTGAGTGATATTCAAGAGCATATGTACAGAATTACCTCTATGATATAACAGTACTGTTGGAATCAAAAGTTCAGAAAAAAACAACAGCTGAACAGTGTTCAGTCTGTGTTCAGGTGGGAATTATCAGTCAAAACAATCCCTATATTAGCACTGCCACCTACCGTACTATTATATATATTTGAGCAACTATAACCACAGGCAGGATATATTATTACATTGCTGGCCCTCTACAAATATATGGTTCCATTAGGGAAACACCGTACTCAGCTGCTCTTTAATTCCTGGTGGCACTGTTTGTGGTATCTGCTGCTTTTGGATAACTTGGTTATTTTAGAGTCAAAAACACCTTTTTTTTTATTGTTTACACATTCAGAACTACACATGACACCCACTTCATAAGTGGTTGGTGTGTTTCTCAAGTGTGTTTCTTTTATGTGTGTTAAATTGTACCATTACTTTTGGAAGCTTGTAGCTAAATAGCAGCTGTTGGTTTTTATAACTCTAGCTTTAATGAATGATTTAAGTGTGATTATAAACATGAGATTTTAGAGAACAGGGTGGACGAGTTCCTGGAAGAGGAGGTGCTGACTGTGTGTGGACAGGTGGAGCTCATCTATCTCGAACAGGGAACCTCAGGAGTCTCTAATTGTTCCAGCGGGAAGCACCTTCCCCACTGAGTCTTCAAGTGGACCAGGGAGCTATTTTCAGCTCAGGGTAAAGTTACAGTATGTCAAGTATCCACAGAGTAATCACAATCAGTAATTCTCCCAGTTAATAGCAGTAGCCTTGAACTACTTGAGCATTCAGATGTCAGGGTTTTAGCCACGCTAGCGGTGTGGCTCTATCGATTGCATTGTCCGCTGTTGTCCGGTCGGTCCACCACTTTTGTCCAGACTGAAATATCCCAACAACTATTGGATGTATGGTTGTGAAATGTCACGCTCACATTCACGTCCCCCAGTACATGACACCTACTGACTTTAGTGAGCCCCTGATTTTTCATGTAGTGCCAGCAGGTCAAATGTTCTCAGTAGACCTTTTTCACAGCAGCCATTTTGACATGAAATAGTAGTGCAAACACAGGTATTACCAGTGACACTAATTAATTGGTAACACCTGTAAATACCCTACTATTTCATATTAAAATGACTTCTGTGCAAAAGGTTGAATATTTATACTTTTAAAAGATGGGTTGGTGCAAGTTCCAATATGATGTATTCCCCTTAAATCACTGCTTTGTGCTTTTGAATGCAATAACTATCGGTATTCATTTGGTGCAAACATTCATCTTCCCCAAAGGATAAACTGTAATAAAGTTGAACTGTGACTGAACTTTTCATCTAGCGCCATCATCAGGGCAAAACTCTAATTTGTTCAGTAATTTATTCATGATTAAAGCACCTGCCAGGGGTAGCTCACCCGGTAGATCTGGTGCCCCATGTACCAAGGATGAGTCCTTGCTGCAGCGGCTCAGGGTTTGAATCCAAACTGCAGTGAGTGTCACTATTAATTAAAGCCAATAAAAGCCCCCCAAAAAATATATATATATTAAAAAAACTGATATTCCTGCACACACACAGCTATGCACAGTGCTAATTAAAAATTTAACATGCTAAACACAGCCTCACAGAGCAGCTAGAGACTCAGAAACGTAATAATACTAATATGAAAGTGTGCTGCCCCATTGTCTCGTGTATTTATATATTCATGGTGTATTTCGTATTTGTATTAGCCATACTCTGTGCCCAGATTTCTTCTGTTACCTGTTCTTTAATGAAAGCATGAGAAACACAAGAAGACAGTTCAGTGTTGACTGCTGGTCCAAACAGTCCTCTCTGTCACTCTGCCACATAGAAATACGTGTGATGATGGAGCCCTCAGTGACTTGCCAGCAATAACTCATTGTCTTACCGAGGGGCGATAAAAGCATAATTTATTTCTGTCACAGCACAACAGCAGAAAAGGACAGATCCTCTCTCGATAGCTAATAATACTAATGAGCCATATGACCAGCAGCCACCCACCCCTGGCCTTCATTTCAACATGATTGAATACTATAAACAAGCCCTGTGCTGTGGTATTTTTGGTCAGTCTTAAACGGTTTTAAAGCCTCCATCTCTAAGGGTTCACATTCAAGGTCCATACTTTGTTTAATTAGGGAGGTTCAAGATCAAGGTCAATACTTAAAACATACATAAAGATATGGCATAACAACCTATAACAGTTTAACATATCACATAAAAGTAAAATCCAAAGTATGCATATTATTTCACCCCTGCTTTATCCCTTCACTGCCTTCATTGTATTGTATTCTACAATATAAGTTGTAGTTATTCCTTGCCGCTGTCGTCAAGTGCTTGCTCATGGTGGCAACTGTTGAGTCTCTGTAAGTAGTTTTATAAGGAGTACGGTCTAGACCTGCTCTATTTAAGTGTCCTGAGATATAATAATTGTTTTGATCCTGAGGAACTTTCTACGAATTGCTTGTTTTTTCTGAGCAACAGTCCAAAACCCAAAGATATTCTCTTTACACAAACATAAACAAGAAACAAATACAGCAAATCTGCACATTTGATAGTTGAAAGTTGTGAATTATTTGTATTTTTGCTTCACAAGAATTGTTTTTTATCAAATTTCTTTATGTTTTTGAACACAGGAGACAACCTCTCATCTCAGACAGTGTGATATACTGTATATATGTCATTTTTTTCTCTAAGCTAAGTTTGTTGTTAAAAGAATAGTTCAACATTTTTATTATTTTATATAATACAATAATTCACTTTCTTGCCAAGATATGAAAAGACTGATACCACTGTGTGGTAAATACAGTAAAAAAAAACAAAGCCAGCAGCTGGTTAGCTTAGCATAGCATAAAGACAGGAAAACAAAAAACAAACTGTGGTTTTACGAAGAGTTGTGTGCTGGAACTATTTCTTGGTTGACGTTTTTTTTTACGAATTAAACAAACAATATATAATGTGTTTTTGAACTTTAGAGGTGCCTGTTTGTAGTCATCATGCTAAGCTAAGCTAACCATCTCCTGGCTGTAGCCTCAGTGGTATCAATCTTCCCTTCAAGAAAGCAAATTATTTCAGTGCATGATTTGTGAATTGTGTTGTGTCTGTCCCCTGCAGGACGACCCATGCAAAGGCCAAGTCAGATGCAGCTGAACAGGCCGCCCAGGCCTCCAACAGTGAGTCCAGCATCGCCAGACTGGTGGCCAAAGAGCTCTCCCCGTCCTTCTACCAGCCAGGTCAGTGAACAACATCTCATCTGAGATCAGCACTGAAATAACATGGAGACACTACAACTATTAACTCGATGTTACCTCTCTGAAAAAGGGAAACAGTGTGGGAACAACTGTATGAAAGTCTTGATCACTCAAAGCACAAACACTTTGTTATGAATTAATTTTCTTCTACAGTAGGAGTCTCATATTTACCATTTTTCCCAAATGACATGAATGCGCCACAAAATGCACAACACAGACAAAATCCTCTCTGTAGCTTTATATTTGTTGCTTCAATACAAACACTACGCACTTACATCAATATTTTGCTCAGCTGGAGCAGAGATACAACAGTTTCCCCACTTATGACATTTATGTATGACATTTTGTGAAGGCGACTGTAAATATAAACTGATAACTTCTTACCACTCATCTAGTTTATAAAGTGTCCGTGTGCATACCTCCAGCTTGAGCTAGCGGATCCTTGGCTCAGACTCCCCACAAGGGTAGTCGCATTTGAATGTCTAAAAAAGGAACATCTTATTGGGTCGAGGGGTTCGTATCAGTTTCATTGCGGGTCTGGCGACACACACTTACACATTCACACGAAAGCAGCCCAGCCATTTAGGAGCCTCTTGCTTCTCCCTCAGCAGAGAGCTTAAAGGAATCAGACACGGACAGACAGTCATCCGGCTTTCTGAATGGCTGCCCGAATTGTCTCTGACTAATACTACAAATGGACGAGGCCTGGCTGAGTCCTGCTATGCATTCTTCCATGAAAGATCTCTCACCAAGGAGACAACAACACAGGCATACAGAGTCAGCGTGTGCACCATCTGGTTTAATTATACTGGGGGAGAAAAACAATGCTTTAGCTTCTAAACAAACAACACAAGAATTGCACAGTACCTATATATAGATTTAAATACAGAAAATGTTTAGATTATTTCCTCATTGAGACCTGGATACTTGCAGTAACTAAAAAGTATTGTCTTATTCCTCTGTGCCATAGGGCATTGCTGTCAAAAGACTATTAAAAACACATCAGTGAGCCACACTGTTGCAGTGGGTGAAGTGTTCCTGTATTACTATGAACATGGGTAGTGTAGTTTATCACATACACATAGTTGGTATAGGGGTGAGTAACATTTGCTCAAACCTACAGTGACTCCAAATAATATTTTAGATATATCTGTGACCTGTTTTTAAAGATCGTATTTAGTCAAAGAACAGCTGGTCTAAAACTAGTCAGCTAAATATAAATTAAAAATAACAGAAAAAATGGAGAGACTTTAATGCATTATTCAACATCAGTTCATGGGGTTTATTGACAATAAGAATGTTTAATATATCAAATTACAAAGTTTTACAAACAAAAACATTTTCACTTTTGTCAGTTTTTCTTACAGTGAAGTGGTTTTCTTTGGCAATTTTGTTTTTACAACTTACACTGAAATTTAAGCAAAAAATAGCCAACTTGTGAAAATTTGCGCTGAAGTTGAGAATTTTTAGTAAGGGATACAAACTTTAACTCAAGAGCTGCTTCCTGTGGTCACAAGAAATGAGTGTAGATTAGGGAGAGAATGGGATAATTATAAAGCTGATCCCCAAGTTGTTAGGTCTCTCCTCCTGTAGCTATTTTCAGATAGCAGAGGATTATTTTATAAAAACTACGTTTCTGAAAGTCCAGAAGTTATTTCCTTCTGTAGTTATAATATAATAATAGTATAATAGTAATAATATATATGTTAACTAAAAAACAGCAGAATTATATTTTTATATTGTACTGACACTTAATTTCACATAAAAATGCTAATAAAACACTATTCCACTGATTGAATTGCTCTCTCACAGGTCCTGAGTATCTGAAGAAACGAGTGTTGCAGGAGGTCGCGGAGGGCAGTGAGAACACAGACATTGTCATGCATGAGCCGCTGCTGGCTGAGGAGGAGCCCCTGCCCACTCCACCCGAAAGCCCACTCATGAATGAACTGGACGGCCTCATGCCTGGCTCATCCCCAGGCCGCACACCCTCCCCCAGCCCAGGCATCATCAGCAAGGAGGACCCCAAACTCCTCAGTCCAGGAAGCTGGAACGAAGACAAAACCAGTAAAGGTGGAGGCAGTAAGGGCAGCAGTAAAACCAACAGCAGGCCCAACAGTCGCCCCACCACCCCTTCAACCTCTGTTTCTGGTCCCGCCCCGACCGCACCTGAGGGTGGAGGAGCCCCCAGCAGTCGTGGCCCCTCTCGCACCCCCAGCCGCCAGAGCAACAAGAACGAGCAGGGCTCTGACCTGGAGATCAAGCCCCTGCAGAAGTTTGACTCCGAGGCAAAAGCTCCAGACGTCGCTGCTGCTGCTGCTGCCCCTGTAAAGGAATAGCCTCATCGCTCCAGATGAAGAAGAAGCACCGCGCCCCACCTCCAGAGTGCCCTCGAAAGCGTCCCTAAAGGCTGTCACCCCCGAGCCTAAACCTGCCGAGGTCAAAACTGAAAGAGCTCCATCGGTCCACGAACGAGTGCCGTCCGTCTCTGAGAACAAAGTGGAGTCCAGGGAGGTGAGCAGGCCCTCCAGCAAGGCAGAGACAAAGCCTTTATCAAAACGGCAACCCAGCCCAGCTCCGTCCCCAAGACCTGCTCCCAATCTTGAACCTAAGACAGTACCAAAGCAAGTGGAAGCCAAAGCCATTGTTGCCAAACCAGCCCCAAAGGTGGATCCCAAAGCAGAAGCCAGACTCAAGGCCGTTGTGTCGAGCCCAAGCAGTGAGGTAACGGCAGAGTCTTTGGAGCTGGAGGTAAGACAGTAAATATACATGTTGACTCATATTTCATTATTTTTAGGCATGTTAGCAGCGTAGCTATAGGGTCGGCAATGTCTGTCAGTCAGTCCGCCGCTTTGGTCCGGACTAAAATATCCCAACAACTATTGGACAGGTTGCCACAACATTTGGTACAAACATTCAGTCCGACTGACTTTTCCTCGAGCGCCACCATCAGGATGACTTTGACGGTTTTGAGTAAAAGGTGTCAACAACCATATACAGACATTCATGTTCCCCTCAGGATGAACCGTTATAGGTCACTTTTTGCTCTAGCGCCATCATCAGGTCAAATTTTAAATATGTTCATATACTTCATGACCAAACACCTGCAACCTGTGTGTTTAGTGCAGAAAATGTTAGCAAGTCTGGACGTCATCCAAAGCCATAATGGTAAAGTGGTTTTATCTCATCGAAGGAAAGCACTTCATTATGATTTATAATTCCATAAAGTGCAGGTTAACGGTCCTATTTCTTAGTTGTCATACTGAATTCTTCTCCCTTTCATTATTGCAGCATTGTACAGAATGGTCTTTATTTTGTGTATTTAAGGGATAGAAACTACATTAAGTAAGTTAAAACCACCTAAAATGACTGTACCACTATGAATTGTTTACACTTTCCTATTAATTATTTGGTCTTCCTATTTGCTTTCTAGCGTTAGTTGAAAAGATCAATATCACTCTGTTTGCGGTTTGTATGTTAAATATGAAGCTAAAGCCAGGATGCCTTAGCTTAGCTTAGCATAAAGACTGTAAACAGGTGGAAACAGCTAGCCAGACTCTGTCCAAATGTAACAAAATCCACCTGGCGGCACCTCTAAAGCTCACAGGCGAGATTTAACGTGTTAATTAGTGAACATGTTGGTGGACAGAGCCAAGCTAGCTGTTTCCCCCTGCTAGCAGTCTTCATGCTGAGGTAAGCCTCTAGTCCTACTGTTGAGTTTATTCTGGTCAAACATTAGTAATTTACTTAATGTTCCTTTCTTTTCAAGGGCCCAAACACCATAATGATCTGCATGGTTATCCTGCTCAACATCGGCCTGGCTATTCTCTTCGTACACATTTTGTCATGAGACATCGTCCACCTCCTCAGGTAATAAATGTGACGACCAAAATAAAAAGAAAGTGACACAGTGCAAATGAAATCTACAATAAACATCGCCTTCGTCCTTTAAAATGAACAAATGTTCTGGTGCAGGTCACCAGCTGTGTTGGAGAGAGACGGCCTGCCTCCTCCTCAGTTTGGACCCGAGATCAAAGCGACCGCTGAGGATTTAAAGAAGCCTCGTTCAGACAGCCGCAGCTCCTCTAAAGGTTTTTGTTGGTGTGACTGTGTGAGGCTCTGTGAAGCTCCTCTCTTCCCAGAGGTTTGACAAAACTGAAGGACACTGAGTGACTGAAACAATTCAGTACATCTGAATTTGAGGATGTTTGTATGTTAAAGTCGGGGCGGGGGTGGGTGGGGCTGGAGGGTAGAGTATGTTCTCGGTGCTTACACTGGAGATTCAGGGTGGCGCTCAAGAAGTCTCAGTTCAACTTCAATCACAGTGTGTCACAAGTGTGTCGACATTTTACAAAAAAAAAAAAGGCTTTTTAACTCAACCGTTAACTGGCACACGCTGGCTGGCTCGCACAACACCGAATCAGGCAGATTTAGACAACTTCAGTAGATAATTATGTTTTTGTCACGAAATACGTTTGTTTGTATTATGTAATCGCCGGCTGAAGGAATGTTGATAACATATGCAGACTGAATTTTCTCTCCACTTTACCTTAAACTTGATCGTTGAGACACAAAGACAACTGCAGCAGACGTGTGAAAGATTAGGGAGTGCTGAACTGTAACTGTTGTTGTTTTAATTATCTGCAATGGGATTAAAAAAGATTCATTAGTTGGAGTCTGAAATGTGTGCGTTGGTCGTATCAGATACTGTAATCCAATGCTACTTTAAAGCCAGGTTATTGTTTTCATCTTGATGCTCTTCACTCTCTTAAGAAAAGACTCATGACTCACATTTCAGCTAATTATTGCGCCCTGCAAAAATCTGTATTTGAGACTGTGGTGTACTTACACTGTGAAATTTTCTATTTTCACTGGGATTTATATGCATTTATTGTCATTCTGCTGCTTTTGTTTGGGAGCTGATAAACCAAATAATGAAGAAAAATAGGAAGCTTATGAGTGTCACTGCTGTTGTGTATGTACTGTATGTCCCTGTGGTGTTTGTCATACCCAGGGGGTGGGGGGTGGGGGTTAAATGAGAGTTGTGTATGTTTTGCAATAGGATAAGCAGGTAAAAACCGGATGCTGGGATTTATCTTATTTAAAACAATCACTGTACGTAGTAGGAAGGTTGCTCAATCTCCAGATGTAAATCGATACAGCAGGAGGTTGGCTTGGGATGTGTTTGCCTGTGAGCTAGTGTAACCTTCATGGTTTCATGTATGTTTCAGTGTTCACACTGTTCCACCATATTATATTCAGGGCCTGTTGTGCTTTAGAGCCAAATGCGAGTTCAACTTTTGTACGCATGAGGGCACTTTGCGTGTCTGTATTTTTGTACCGTTTTGAAGTGCACATCTTTTCAGCAATCAAAATATTCTGTCGTAGGATTTTCTTTTTTTCTTTTTTGTCAGAGGAAATATGCAAACCCTAAATTTATTTATTTCCCAAAGGAGTCGGATTACCTCGTGATTGTGAGATGGAGAAAAAATATAGAAAGGTTCTTAACTCCATGTCTTACATTGAGAAGAGCACTCTCCAGATGTGCTGTGTAATATTTCTCCATTGTTCTTCTAGCCGTTAATTAATACACAGGTTTTAAAAAGAACAAAGGAGGGTGTTTAGCTGAAATTGTTTTGCCTTTGAGTTTGCAAATTAACCCAGAGGCCACTGGTTGTGCATTGATTTCAAGCCAAAATCTCCCCCAGATAGTTTATGAATACATGAATCAATAACAGAAGAGACACACTAACAGTTGGACTCAATGCTAAGTGCAATAAACAGTATCCATATAGGCCAGTTTCATGTAGAAGCCATTTTGTTTTGTCTGTTTTTAGTGTGTTTAATGAAATCAAAATAACATTGCAGAATTTGAAGAAATGCAATTGTGTAACCAAACTTGGTCAAAATTACAAAAGCTGAAATTAAATAAAAACTTTTACAACACTTGTGAATGTGCTTTGTTTTGGTGAATCAGTCGGGTTAAAAGTCTTTTGCCCATGTGATGTTTTCTAAGTGTGATCCATGATTTTCATACAATACCATTCATTATTCAGAAGAAAATCCAGTCCAGTAACAGCAGAACTAAGTATTTTTAAACACCACCTGTCTGCCAGCATGAGAATTCCGCTATCCCTCCCCTGGGCCAAAGTGAATACCACACCCTATTTTAAACCAGACCGGGGGTTAGGCCTCGGTTCTTCTCTGCAGTTCTCACGTAAAGCACAGATCGCACCTTGAACTAGTCGGTGAGAGATCAGGAAACGCTACACTGAAAACACCTGATGCTGTAAAGTTAGTAGTTTAAACTATAGGCTGCCTGCAACACTTTGACATTTAGAGTAGTTCAGCAGTTCAGCCTGGTGTCAAACATCTGTTGAACACCACTGCCCCCAAGTGACTGAATGCAGTGGAGCAGCCAGATCATCTCTATAGTGAAAGTATTTTAGATCTTTTAATTCACAGTCAAATTAATATAAACCCATTAGTCATATAGGTTGCATTAGATATTTAACAGGTTTAGAGTATAGTGTTAACTGCTGACTGCTCTATTAAAAATGCTCTCCAACAGTAGTTCTGCCCTGTGGAATGAGTGTACTAAAGACAGTAAACAATAGTCTAGTCAATGAACAATTTTTATTCTTTTTGACATAAAAAAAACAGATCAGAGATCAATACAAGGGAATGTATGCCACTTTAATACTCCTCCCCTTCATCCTCCTCTCCCAGACTATCAGTTCCGACCTCCTCGTAATCCTTCTCCAGAGCCGCCATGTTTCCTCTCTGGCCTCAGAGAACTCTCCCCTTCCATACCCATCACCACATACCACGTGAACAAAGGCCCCTCTTGCGTACCATCAGCATCGAAACTTGTGTCGGGGAGCCGCAGGCCCCAGGCCTCTGCGATAGCAGGTGGTGTTGCTCAGCATTGCACACAGCCCTCTGGACCTGTCCAGGGTCTCACCAGGGACTACGCGTGGGGCCGGCTGTAGTTGATGCCAACCTTGAAACCAGTGGGACACCAGTCCACGAACTGGCGCTGGAGCCGCTTTGCGTTTTGCATGGTGGCAATGGCAGCATTCACGTCTTTGGGCCACCACGTCACCACGATACAGCAGCAGCAAGCCATGTACTTGCCATGACGGAGGGGGTCGCATTTCACCATCTGATTGGACGGCTCGAAGCAGGCGTTTGTGATTCACACTGAGGAGCTGCTCATGTAAGCCTTTCTCAAGCTGAATAACAGGGGCATAGGTGGCAAAGAGGGAAGTGGATACGGGGATATTCGCACCAAGTTTGGTCTGTGAACTCTGTCAGATCAACATTCGGAGGGCACCATCGGAAGCGAAGGGAGAAGCAGTGATGGGGGAGGACACGATCTGACTGATCACCTGTTCAGGGGTTGGTGTAAGACGGCAACGCTCGATATCGAGGTTCCTTACGGCAGATATTCGTAGGCATGGGCCTCGTTGCTCCACCATGAAAGGCACAGTCAGAGTGCTCCAGGGTGGTGTGCGGTGGTCAGCAATTGGCGTGTAGGCTCCACCCACAGCCGGTGGACACCTGGAGGAGCGGGAGATGAGAACTCCAGCTGGACTCTTGCCGTATCGACAGACAGACGCTCCATCAGCAGGGGAGTGAACCAGAGCCGGGTGCACACGCCGAAGTGTGGAAAACCAGTAAGCCCTGAAGGCCGGTGCCCACTGGTCAGACTGAAGACAGAGGATGAGAGAGACAACAATTACATATGACGATACAATAGATGTCATTAATGATTTGATATTCTGGAGAAAAAATCTGAACTTCTGCTCTGAATTTACCAGTTTGCCGCAGCCTGTCCAAGCACCAGGTCGCATGATCTCTTTGCCGATGGTTGTTAGCTGTCCACGGGCGTAGGCGTACGTTGTTGCGCAGCATCTCTTGCCGGTGATCAGCTTTTTGCTCGGGGTGGGAAGAGCTGGCGGTACGGTCCCAGTGCGCACCTCATCTAAGAGGACAAAAAAACAGACATTGCATCAGTTGTGGTTTATAGTTATCAAGATATTTAACTTTTCCTTTTGCCTGGAATTAATGTTTCAGCTAGAGATAACTTACACTCACCAAGACAGTGGCTCAAGCGTCACAAAAACAGCCCTGGGTTGGACGTGCTTCCGCTCAGTTTCACTGAAGGAACGGTGTTGAAGGAATCGCTCTCCTCCCCAATGGTCTTTCACTGGCATCTGCTCCGTCGGCTGGATCCCATGCCTTCCAGACAGGTAAAGCTCCCAGCAGGCATTCCCAATCTGGACACCGCCTACCGACGTGCACTGAAATACACTCACGCTGGAGGAAAGACAAGGAAAAATCTGTCATACAAGGATTTATAACAAAAAATAAATAAAACACTCGGCTGGCTGAAAAGCTGTGTTAGGAAGTTCTTTGTGAAAAGTGGAAACTAATCTGACACCTGAGGGGTGACTCAATCACATTGTTGGAGAACTGATGCCCAATATCTACGGAGGAGGAAAAAAAGGCTCTTTGCTTTGAAGCAACCAGATACACATGATAATGGACGGAGTCACCTGACCACATTTTGTGGACATTGCATTAACCCTTAAGAAAGAGATCACAGAGCAGGCTCATTATTCAGACACACAATGTGCTTAAAGAAAACCTTGAACAAACGCTTTCCAACATTAAAGTCCTGCAGTGGAAAAAACAAACAACAGCTCCTACTGATTTTAACCTGCACAACATTGAAAGATTAAATACTAAAAAGCCCCCCATGAAGCTTTTAGTGAAGCGGTTTTTTGTGTAAAAAGCCCTGTGGTTGCAGTTTCATAAAGCGAGGGGGGCCCCTTCAAACAGAATTTTCAGGATGAAAGCACATTGACCTCCGCCAACTGGGGTCAACATGCAGGACAGAAAAACCGGAAACTGAAAGCAGACTGCAACTTGAATTTGGCTAGCCCCAAGTTACACTTAGTAAATACTTTTTTTCGACACATTTTTTTTTTTTTTTTTTTTTTTTTTTTACAATCAAAGCTCCAAAAAGCAGCCAGGTTAAGTTTGATAATCAAACTTTTTCCACATGACACACTTTAAAACCTTTAAATTTGCTTTAAAATCAACACATATAATTTGAAGAAAAAAAAACATATATATATATATATTTGAATACTGACCATGTTTCCTGGAGTTGTGAAAGTGTCGGAGTTTGGATGAGGAAGAGGAAGAGAACAAGTTATCTCTCACAGTTAGGCCTTTATGTGTCCTGTGTAAGAAGTAACTGGGGTTGTTTTGTGGGGCGGGGCCTTTTATACTCTCTGAGCGGAGGAAAAGTTCTGGCGATTCTGATTGGCTGCCGGGTGTCACGTGTGGGCGATTCCTATTGGTTGAAAACGAAACAGTGCCTCTGCTGCGACATGCCACGAGCTCTGTTAGGAAAGTAGGCCAACTGACATTGTGATTCAGACCGGAAGTGAAGACCTTTTAAAGGGATTTTTGATTCTTTATCGTCTTTTATTTGTATCGCCTCTTTAAAAATGACATAAATAACTATATATACATAAAGTATAACTGTTTTATCAATCGCTGTTTCTTTTGTGTTCACGAAAATCAGCTGTTTTTTGTGGGTGATGGGGGGTTTAACCAACAAACATAAAGAAGTGCTCAGCAATGATGGAAAGGAACTAACTACACGTATTATATGTAACTTAGTTGTATTAATTTGACGCCTTTCTAGTCTTCTGACCACTCGAAGTGCTTTACACACATTCATACGTTTGCTCGTCATCACAAATGATCGGGGATCGAACCGCCAACCTTCTGATTAGGGGACCACCTCGACTCCTGAGCCACATGCCTGATTGTGTAGTCAGGATACAAAAGAATTACAGTTACAGAGAACAATATGTAATCAGGTCACAGTTGCATTAAGTAAAAATGGGGATTATTTAGCAGGATTATAATTTTAAAATTCACTGAGCAGATGACACATTTTTTCTGCTAAAAAAATTTAATTTTCCATTGTTTGCGTTTCCCCTTTTCAATGGTTACATTGTTCTGTTGTCTTATAGAATATATTTGCATAAATACATCTGACTAACATTGTCTTTTCTCTTGTCTTTATTTACATATTTGGTGTTGAGGTAATCCAAGAGTAATGGAAAGCAAAGAGTTTTTGTTACTTTAATTTTGTCACTGAGTACATTTACTCATGTACAGTTTTTAGATACTTGTACTTTAGTATTTCCAGTTTTTGCTACTTTATACTTCAACTCCGCTACAGTTCAGATGCAAATGTTGTACTTTTTACAAAATGTATTTGCTAACTAGTTACTTTGCGGTATCACATGATTAATACCAAATGTTAATGTATTATTAAAGTCATGTACACATGCATCCATACCAGTATTTATAATCCAATGATATAATAAATATTCTGAAATTGCCCATTGTGCACCATGAGTACTTTTACTTTTGGTACTTTAAGTATATTTTGATGCTTTTACTTAAGGAAATGTTTGAATGCAAGACTTTTATTGGAGTATTTCCACACTGTGGTATTGTTAGGTTACTTTTACTTAAGTCAAATATCTAATTCCACCACTCATATTTAGATCCTTTACTTAAGTAAAAGTACCAATATAACCTAAAAGTCCTACATTCAAGTGTTTATCAGCAAAATGTGCTTAAAGTATCTAAAGCAAAAGTACGCCTTCTACACAAAAAGGGCCCTTCTGGTTGATAGTTTTGTGTATATTGTATTATTTAATCTTAATACTGAGGCACACGGTCAAGTTGGAGCTTGTGTTAAATACTTCACATACAGTTAAGTAGTTTAATCCGGTGTTTCCGACCTCGCAACCTCTTCCTGATGTATGAATTTTTCTGCTCTAAACTTTAGTTTCACCACCAGAGGTCCCCATCTATTGACAAATCGTCAATTTCTTAACCTGCTTGATTTCATATATAGGCTGAATAATATTCCATACATTGGATACTTTTGGATGCATCCACAAAACATTTAATACAATCTGAGAATCAGAATCAGAGGTATGGATATATTCTTCATATTAAACTATTAAAATATTCAAACTGAAGCAATGAGCTGTTCTTACCAACAGTAATGAAGGTGTGTATTAAAGAGTATAAACAGTGCAGTGAATGAACAAACTTTATTTTTAACACTAGAGGCAAAGATCAAAGATCAATACAAGGAAATGTTTAATACTCCTCCCCTTCATCCTCCTCTTCCAGACTATCAGCTCCAACCTCCTCATAGTCCTTCTCCAGAGCCGCCATGTCC